TATAAACCGACCATTTTCGTTCCTAGAAAAATTATCACGAAAAATTTGTTCGCATTTTTCATCATCTGCGGATAAGATATTGACTTCTGGAACATTTTCAATTTCGAAAAAATGCTTCATCGTATTTTCTAAAGAATTATTCTCAAGGGAGGTACTACAGAAGAAAGTATTGACCGTGGGATAATTAGTATTGCATATTTTTCCTAGTAGAACGTACCCAAAAATTGTCTCAAAGGCGTCCGGTTCGCCCGGTTTTCCAAAAATACGGCCATTCAACAACACTTGCGAAAATACGTCTGCTCCAAGAAGAATATCGATTTCTCCTGGACAATCGAATTCTGGATCAGCTAAAGGTAAACTTGATAAATGATGCCACGATTTTATATTAATAGGTGATGATGGCAAGCGATCACAAATAGTAGGTAAAACCAAACAGTCAATCATAAATACTGGTTGTGATTTTTTAACAGGTTTAACATAAAGGGTGACCCCTCCGGTATTGATTAAAGTATCTTGATTTCCAAGGCCTTGAATAGTTGTTGGAGTATTAAATTTAATTAGACCCAAACGATTTGAACATTTTTGCGTAATGATGGAGGTTTCCGAGCCTGAGTCTAATAAAGCGCGATAGGGATGGAACACTCCCATTTTGTCCCGTATTTCAACAATGGCGGTAGAGAGGAGAACTTTAGAATTTTGATTCAAAAAAGCAGAACAAGAGGTCACTGAATGTGAAGGGTTGGTGTTTGTGGATGATGGCGACTCAAGAGGAGGTACTGAAGATTCTGAGACATTGCGCGAAACTGATGAGTTAGCGGGAGTTCTAGGTACCGATCTGTCATGCTCTTTTTCAAAGTGCAATGTTGTGTGATGACGTTTGCCACATTTTAAACAATTTGAAGAAGATCCACAAGTTTTTATGTCATGGACATTACTTAAACAATTGAAACACAGGTGTAGGCTTTTGCAATACTGAAATCTATCATTTTGCGATTTATTGAGAAATTCAGGACAATTGAATAGTAAATGATTCTCATTACAGAGGACACATTTATGATAAGTTTTATTATTAGTGCGGACTAAAAAATTATTGGAGTTGGAAAAACTAGTAGGTTCTCGATTGGCTCGTAGATGTGGGGTGTTGCGGTTGAAGGTAGAATTGGGCGAATTATTATATAACTTATTGCTAGTAGTTGATGAATGAGTGGTTGACATTTTTTTATTTTTATAGGTGGTAGTATAATTCATTGATTCCAATGCCGTACAATGTTGGTTTAAAAAATCAAAAAGCGTTTCGTAGGATGGAATTTCAGTGGACCCGTGTCCCTTTTCGAAGGATTTGGCAGTTTCAGAATCTACACGTTTTAATAGCATGTTAACGAGAATAAAATCCCATTCCGTTGTGGGAAATTTCAAGTTTTTTAATCCTGCCAAATTCTCGGAAAATGTATCCAATAATTTTCGTAATGCTGACGGATTATCCGAAGGGATTTTAGCATGATTTTCGATTTCAAACCAATAGGCATTGGCCTGCGCGCGTTTGTTGGAATAACGAGTAATCAAACTATCGTAGGCAGTTTTATAATTTTCAGCTACCATAGGCGTGCATTGTACAAGCGCAAGGGGAGGTCCCCTCAAAGATGATATCAAATAGTTAAATTTCTCGATATCTTTCAGCGAATCATTGGAATCAACTAAAGCATCAAACATATCCTTGAAGGTTGGAAAGGTACGAAAATCGCCACCAAATTTGGTCAATTCGATTTTAGGTAGCTTGACATGCGACATATTATTAGGAGTCGATTGGCCAACCATTGATTGATCAAGATTACTCTCGAATAAATCGGAAAAAATAGCTCGTGCGTGATAGAAATCTTGGTAAAATACTTCTTTATGTACGTCTTCGGCAGCAAGATCTGCGTTAACGTCGGAGGACAGAAGTTGTAGAATGCTTGCGTGGTGTTTTAAAAATTCAGTGCGTAAAGAATCTGCGTCAATCGATCGAATTTTGAAAATAGTTTTTTGCGTCCTATCATCTTTAGCTGCAGTTGCCAATGTACTTAAGATTCTAATTTCCTTGAGGCAGCTCTCACGTAATGCCTGTGATCTTCTCAATTTATCAGCCATGGCGCGAAAAGTCGAAATTCAAAATAGTCTGCGTATCAGCTGATAGCCTTGAATAGAATATTGGGGAATCCTCAAGCGAAATAAAAATAGTAACAAAAAACTAATTGGTCAGAGTCGAGAGGTACCCAGTGCGGAATACGCAAAAACTGAACGACCTAGACCCATATGTTGTTTTCTTCACGTGATACTTATTTTGTGGAATGAAACCAGATCACTTTTTTGTCTATCTATAGATAACTCATGTGCGTGAATTTAAATATGGCTAACAATAATTGTACAAGGAAAGAATAATTCAATTATGTTGTTTTTCCTGTTATAATATATGAGAAATAATTATACAATTAATTTAACAATATTATTTAACAATAGTTTTTCAAAGAACAATCTAGTGCTTGAAGGACCATGAACTTTCTTTAGCTCAAAAAAAATGGAGAGATGAATGGATTGTATCTTAATCAGATTTCAATGGAAATTATTTGTAATCTCAAAAATCCAAACTAAACGACTGCGATATTTATAGTCACTAGACGACTTACCAGACTCCCCAATATAATGTTCGGAAAGGTGATCTTGATGGTGTCACCCAGATTCTGGCTGGCTGTTCTCAGGGCCCTTGGGTGCCAGCCGGTGTTGAATGCAACGTGGGAGCAGTTGCAGAGTCCCAAAGGCGCACTTTGTAGAAAAATACACGAACGAGGAGTGTTCACAATTATATACGTACGCGTATTCTAAACCGAATTCAACTTACAGTGTAAGAAAAGATCCTGAATTTCAGGGCGAATGTAGCGAGCGAAATTAATTATGAGAAAACAGGTAGGTATCTGAATGCCGGTAGAACTCTCACCTCGTACCCGGTTCAGGAAGTCAAAATGTTCTTCGGTAGTGGCGCATGCGCCTGGTCGCCTAGTGACATTTAAGCAATTTTAAATTGAAATAGATACATTTGATATGGATAAACATTATTGACTATATGTTTTGCATATTAGGGACGAAGAATACACAAGAATACACACTTCAATCGCAAATTTGTGATTTGGTTTTCTCAATTCAGAATTTCCTTTCACGTCCTGTATTATGAATATCAACTCGTCATACATCCAAAAACATGAAATATCTACTTTTCAATTCGGTTTTCAGGAATTTAAAATCACCAACAAGTTAATGACTGATTTGCTTCAACCTCACTGGTAGAAAACAAATTGTGGAAATTGATCAGGAGGAATCCTCTGCATTGAATATACATTGTGGGGTACCACAAGGGTGAGTATTGGGTCCTGTATTATTCGAACTATATATTATCGATATTTCTAGTCTTCCTATACAGGAAACAATCATCTTATTTGCCGACGATACCAACATTTTATGGCACAGTACAAATTTCGATGAATTGAAGGCAACGACTATCCGAGATTTTGAGAGAGTATAAAACTTTGGTGCGACTCAAATCACTCATGTTTTAACGATAATGAAACAAGTAAACTCACAATGAGGTTCGTGATTTCGATGACTCACAACTAGAGAATCAGAATATAGAAAATGATCCATCATTGTGCATTCTTTGGCCTTTCGATTGAGAATAGACTCAAATTGGAAGAGAAGCTCGTAGAAAACCTCAGTAAAAATCTATCTCAAAGAAAGTTGAGATGCAAAAAAGCTTTCGAATTAATCGATCCACCTTATTTGGTGGATAGAAGATATCAGAGGTGTGTACCTACTACAAAGTAGTTTTGAAAGGATGAACGAGACTCTAATGCTAAAACCATATCACCCTGTAAATTTCGAGAATCTTTGGAATGCTTGAGATGATGATAAGTAATACACTGAAACTGAAATCGATATATCCAAAAGTGAGCGAGATAATTAAATTAATAGAGGAAAATAATTAAACTTTGACCCCTGTAGCTCTTCATCTATTGATCGAGATCGGACTCATGTGTACATACATTTCTTGATTGAAATGATGAAATCTATCACCCATCACAGTGTGTACCTTGAAACCTGAATCATCTTGTATATATGCTAGCTGTTCTCATCATATCCTGTATACTCTCCCAGCCTTGAAATTTGTCCTGTTCTATAGTCAACAGTAAAATGTTCTAGATTATTCTCTCCATTTGGAAATGAATCTTCAGACCAATTTTCCAAATACTCAAAAATCAGAAACCAGAACCATACCAATCCAGTCGCAAAATCAAAATATAAAAATTGGAACATTAGCAGTTGCTTTTGGTCCTGGTAATTTTGAATTCAGCGTAATCTAAAAAATAACGCCTGCGTGTTGATTTATCCGTATTAATATTTATATGAAAGGATGAAGATGTAACGTTTCAAGAGATTGCATCAACTTCAATTTTCAAATCATTAACTTGGAGTTTGATGAGTTGATGTCAATAATTTAGGGGTGGTTAAGCCAGTTCGAAGAAATATCAATGCTTGATGCATTTTTATTTCTCTACCGCTTCTATAGAAATTGATCAATAGATTTTTAGGCTTCTTCTTCATAAGCAGTTTCGTTTGTCTAGACGAGCAAGATTTTACAAAACTTCGTAGTCAATGCTCGATATATCCGAGAAGATGAGTGTATGGTGTTTTTTTTTAGACACCATCTCATCATAATCAAAATTCTGGTATACAATGTAGGTTTGTGCGCCAATACCCATCAATTCCTCCCGTGTATTTCATTCTGCCTGATGTGTAAACTTTCAACTATTAAACTCATATTGAATTCCTAAACTTCGTCAAACTTTATGGCATACTGATAGTGAAATCATTAGACATCAAACCATTCAGTCAGGACAATTAATAATAATTGATTTTAATTAATACCTCCAGATACATTTAATTATGTATAGTCTACAAACTAGTATAGTTACCTTTATAGTAGACGATATTAATCCAAATTCAGATAACCACGCGCAATTACGCACTGGAATCAGATGAAACGACCAATGTGCGAAAAATGCAATATATCACTAACTCTACACCGTGAAAAGTGACTTCTATTATCCCGTGTCCAGACCAATCTGGATACGAGCGATCGAAACAAATATCAGACGTGCGCGTCTCACTGTGTAAATATTCATCAGGAAATTAACTGATTGGTGAGAACCCCATCATGGCATATATATGTGACTAAAAATATATTCCAATTTTGAGAAATATTGCTAGAGAATGATGAAAACCCAAACGGCGTTTTTTAGTTTCATTTTGTGTTGTCGAGAATGGACAGTATCCTATATATAAGGCAGAATCAATCTCATGAGGAACTAGAGAAGAAAACCTCATTACTTACTGGTATATACTTAAGTATCTTCATCTATCAATGCTAGTTTCATAACATTGTTTTCCACAATATAAATACTTGAACTGAAGACAAATAATCAATTCACATCATAATGAGAAAACATTGAAATAAAGAAAAATGAAGTTGATTAGAAATGATCATCGATTTGTTTTTCATTTCCTATAAGCCAACTTGTATCTTCTTTTTTGAGGGTTATAATATTCAGACTTTTCAATTTTGATGGTATTTCATATAAAATTCCAGATCCAATATAACTAGAACGTTTTTTTAAAATTCTAAGCTTATGTTTTTCAAGTCGTACCTACATTGTTGATTCTGTTTCTGGTATCATAACTATTGTTTTATTAGTTATTGCCGGTTTCCTTTTAATAAAGATTATCGTCACCTCTTTTGGGATAATTGCCAAGCATTCAATATATTATTTTCTAAAAATAATGATGCTGATGTATAATCAAATTATTTACGGAATTTTAGATAAGTTTCATACATACCACCCCATCCAATTATTCCATACGATAATATTGATTGGAAAAATGTGTGATAAAATATGATTATCGAATGTCTACTGGAATCATTTCGCAAAAGTCTTAATTTCGAAAGGGTATATGTATATAGTTCTGAGTCCCTTTGTTAGTTCTGAGAAATGATATTTACACTTCAAATTCTGATTAATGTGTATATCAAGATATTTGATTGTATTCACTATAGTTATTTACGAACAAATTACTGGTATTTTGCATACATTGTCAGAGCAACTCTGATCATGAAGTGTCAATTCTGTTAAATATTTTGGTTGTGAAGCATCATAATAGGAAAAAGTCATGAATTTCGTTTTATTCATATTTTGAGTTGACAAGTCAAAATCAATATTATTTTTCAATATTCCTATAGCTTCTTTTGTATTAGATACAGCGTGTGACCAATAATTTCCATGACTTCGATCATTCAGAGGTAACTTAAAGATAGTTTGTGTGCCCTCCAAGAAACCTCAAGGAGGCAAAATAAGGGGTGTCATTACTCTGTATTTTTGTTGTTTTGTTTTCATTATTTGATATTTAATTCATTGTATTTCAAATCAACTTTCAATTCATTTTATGTACTAGCGTATATTATATTCACGAAGAGGGAGAAACCTGAAGTCATAACCACAATAGTTCATAAAATTATATTCCCTCAATACAGGATTTTAGCTAGAAGGAACTAGCTAAAATCGTCCTAATATCATTAATATTCACCCATGCTATGAGAATCATAGGACATACTTTAGTCCCATGATTCCAGGAATAATAAAGAATAATTGCATCGTTTACTTATGCAGAGTATTTAACCAGGCATGAAGTTGCAATGCAAATACCTATTTGCTTCTATATATATATATATATGATGTATTATGGTTTTAAAATTGATGTTTTTTGCCGTTTTAACAATTCTGATTTCGACTTCTGATGCTAGAACTATAATATGCAAGTCTGTCAAATTTATATGACTCAAGTACTGGAGTACTTGTCAGAATTAAATTTGGACACAAACAACTCGGAAGAGGATTTCTATAATTGAGTAGTAATTTTACTCAGCAGTACCTCCATATTTAATCCGCATGCATGTAGGTCAAATGAAGAAATTAATCATTCCAAAATAACGTCATTTGACAGGTCGAAACATTTTGTAAACAGGGTGTGTTTCAAAGAAACCTGACCCCCTTACTAGGGTAGAGAGAACACTGCAAAATAAATTGGGTTTGCTCAGTAAAAAACTTTCGTAACGGTATCCTTTATCAAAATACAAGGTGTTGAAAAAATGATTTTTTTATACATTTTTCAAGATTATGTCGAAACTGCTGGCTACATTGTAATGAAATTTTGTATGGATGTTCCTTGAAATCTGACACATCGCATAAATTTGTTTTCATATCTGACTCTCATAGAGGGCGCTTTGAGGTTAGATTTCTCAATCCAAATATGATATGAACTTGAACATCATTCAATTTTACACCAAAAAGGTTCTCTCGGTGGAACTCGATACTATGTTTCGTTTTGGGATGCCGTTACGACATTTTTTCACTGAGCAAACCCAACTTATTTTGCATTGTTCTACCTACCCTAGCAAGGGGGTCAGGTTTTTTTGAAACGTCCTGTATTTCATATGAAACCAGAATAATTTTCCTTGGAATCTGAGTTGGATCCCAAATGAATTTCATGATTCTGTTTGGTGACTCTGATATTGTATTTTGGATGTACATATGCATGACTTTATCATCAGAGGTAACCTAACAGTGTGAGATGAAGCTTTGGTCTCGTGCGATCGTCTGCAGAATCTGTGATTATTGTGACTCTCTGGGTTTTCACATCTGATACATTTTGACTGGTAAGCTGCTGTAAAACATTCCAAAATATATTCACTGTTTGTTTTATTAGATATTCTGTTTCTTCTAAACACAATTTGCAAGTTGATATTCTTCGAATACAAAACAATTATTAGTCCTAATAATCCCTATATTATATTTTTCAGTCTAAAGAGTAGACTATAGAGTTCGGAGAGATGCATATATATTGATGGCCTCTTCAGTCTTCATCCAAAGTATGGGCTTATTTCATCTCATTTTCTATACATTGTCGATACAGTAGATCAGCAACTCATTTATGACCGGTAGATAGGTGTTTGGGAATCTCTTAGTGAAAACAAACTATCCTAATCTCACAGCTATATCTATCAGCAATATTGAAATATTGAAGATTCCCGTTGAAGATTTCGAATTTCAACGCCCTATATCTCAATGAAAAAATGTGCTTCATGTGTTCACAGAAAGACATAATGGTATTTCATTCAGTTCCATCAATTCCTAGACTATTAGTCATTGGTTATACATTTATATTACAAATCATAATAATATAATCAGATTCATATTGTACAAATATCACTTTATTGGCATATTAAATATGGAGGATTTTCATAACAGTATATCCAGGGACTGAGTAGATGGCGAGAGCAAAGAACGCCACCACAAGAAGAACCATGAACCCTATGATTATCTTACAGCGATACACTTTACAAAAGACGTATCTCATTGCGTTGAATGGGTTTTTGAACCATGAAAATGAAGTATCTGGCCTCCTGTAACAAAAACAGTTATGAATAACCTACTGTAGAATTCCATGTTGCCTCAGAGTGGAGTGAACTAGTTCATATAGTATAATAATACACCATACTTCAGACACAATTTCTCATAATTACGTTAATACTGAAGACAAATCACCACCTACGTCTGAGTCAGGTGTATATAAAATCTCTTGTTCCGAACCCGATTGTCATGCACAATATATTGGTCAAACAGGTGAAAAATTCATACGAGGGTAAACGAACATGTAAAATGTATAGACAAATTTAGAAATACTACTATTGACGAAGATTTCAATACCCAAAGTACATTTCTTGCTAACCATGTGTTTAGCTCTAAACAATCATTCAACATTAATACTGATTTGGAAATTTCACATATTTACCAGAAGGGTAGTTTGCTGAAATTGTTGGCAAAAAGACAAAAATAATCTTTCACTCAATAAACAAATTCATTTCGATTGCCAAAAACTCTTCAATGCCTTGAGCTTTTGATGTTTGTGTTATTGTTCCCTCTTGCTTTGGTCTCCAGTGTAAGTTTCCTTTTAAAAATTCTCATAGCATTGTTAACCTTAGGTTGTTCCCCCTACTACCTTTATATTCTAATGTCACCATCCACAAGTTTGTCATGATTTTCATGGAACCAATTGTCTCTTGTATTGCATCACCGTTGACAGCTGAAGTTACAGTTGTCTGTCAGAGTTGAGTTTGACAATTGAAATTGACAGTTGGTCACATGGTATCAAGTTAATCCAGTGAGATCAAGATAATGACGTTTTTGTTCTCATCATTTTCTATGTCTTTCGGCCTCCTAATGTGGCGATTCCACTGTCTCATCGGGGCACAGGGCCCCTGTTTAGAAAACCCGTTGAATTAACAAAATTTTCTTTTGTAACTTCATATGATTCCAAAAACATTTTTTCTGCTCCACATGAGTACTACCATGTTTTATCATTGATACCCTATTATTGTTGGTTTGTTCTTTGTAGAATAATTTTCTCAATCGGCTGATGATGGATAGGTACTCTATAGATCCGAAACAAGTCCTCTTTCTATTTATGATTTGATGATTGATGATATCAAACGGTGTGGAGTATTATTATACACCGTGTCCCAGCTAAAATGTCCCCCCCCTGTAAAGAGTCAACGGAGCGATCGAATGACTTAAAATTTGGTCACCCAGTATATTTGATGATGCTCACTCGAAATATGCTATTGAATAAATCGTAGGTATACGGGGTCAAACCGAAGTGCACCTGAACTTTCCTATTTGAATAGGGACACCCAGTATATTATTCCACATTCAAGTAGAGTTTATTATTACAAATCCAACAATGCCGGGTTTGATGAAATCTTTTCAAACGACTACGAAAATATGGCAAAGAATAGAACGATTCAATAAAAAAATTATATGATTAGATTTTTATTATAATATGACACGATTGAAATCGAATGAAAAGAAAATAATTGAAACCTCAACAAGAATACATATTCTCCCAACAAGATGGGTGTCCTGCACATAACTACAGACCCGTAAAGGGCTATCTTCGCCATCGGTTCGGAGAACATCTAATAACCACCAATTGTCTCGATGGTGATAGCAACTAGCCAGCTCGGTCGCCAGACCTCACCCCACTTGATTTTTATTTGAGGTACTTGAAACAACAGGTTTATGAGTCGCCAATTGTAAATAATATGGAGGAAATGAAAGAGAAAATCACAAATTTATGCGCTCAAACTGATCGCAACGAGATTCTTATAGGGTCAAAATGAACGTTATCAAAAGAGCTAGGAAATGTTTGCAAAAGAATGGACGACATATTGAGCAGTTTGAGTTTTGATTATTTTCTTCTCATTCGATGTCAGTCGTGTTATATTAATAAAATCTAATCATATACATTTTTTATTGAATCGTTTTATTTTTCGCCATATCTTCGTAGTCGTTTGGTAAAATCCCATCATACCCGGCATATACTGTGTGTCCCTATTCAAATAGGAAAGTTTAGGTGCACTTCGGTTTGACCCTGTATACCTACGATTCATTCCATAGTATATTTCAAGGGAGCATCATCAAATATACTGGGTGACCAAATTCAAAGTCATTGGATTGCGCAGTTCATTTTTTACAGGGGGGGGGGGGGCATTTTAGCTGGGAGACGGTGTACTATATGAACAGTTATGAATGTTCTTGGATCTTCAACATCATATATAGTGTTTTAATTCATCTCTAATTGCAATATTGAACAACTTCTGATGCTGAAAAATACCGTGAATGAAATTATAGTAGAGTATACATTATATCTATACTGGAACGGGAATGTAAACAGGAAGCTACACCTCTTTTGATTGGGTTCATCGTTTCATTTGTCAATTAGTAAATATAGGTTGGTTAATTAATGAAGTTTCTCATATGTCGACAAATACAGAATACAGGAAATAAATTATTCCTCAAATCGATCAGAAATATAAGTAAAAAAATGTAATTTACATTGCTACTATTAATTTAATTACTTCCATTGGGAGATTGAGTATTTTCAATTCAGGTACTCTTGTCTCTCTCATGAAACAGAAAAATGCGAATCTGAAATTAACAATGTTCACTTATCGAAGTTTACTGCAATTTTTTCAACTGTTTTTTTTTTCTACATCAGATAAGTTCTTGGCAAGAATTCTTCTGAATTCTGAAAGGGCAATAAAATTGTATGAATTTGCCGAAAAATATGTAAGAACCATGCATTGAACCACTCACTGACTCTACTGTGTGAGTTTTCGCAATCATAGGAATTTCTGATTAGAGACAGCCAGCAAGGAAAAATATATCCCGAAATGTAGAAATTTCTGAGATGTATTAACAAAATCTGGAAAAAATCTAAATCGTCCTGATGCATTCAACGCCCTGTATAGAGCTCCTATAACCCTACTTGAGGGTGTAGAAGTGTAAGAACTAAATAGAATCGGATTATATTATATTAAATCTTTCATACAACTGTGTCTGAATTTCAACTGTATATTTCATTTTACGTCTTCGTTTACTTTGACGAATCCCATATTGAATTTATATAAGATCCTTGTTTGTATCCTTCAGGGTATACAGGGTGTTTCTCAAAAGTGGCTCACCCCTATAAATTCTTAGTTTATACAGATAAACAAATGAAATTCGGTATGTTAGTATAGTACATAAATATGCATTATTTGGCGTATATTCAATTGTTTTCTGTCACTCACGGTTTGATCAGAAGTGACCCATATTATCTTATTTTGAATGGGACAACCTGTATATTCTTGAATATTTCTGTAGAGAATAACATTCAGAGTACAATGACACCCCATTTGCCACTTTGTGACATTCACAATATCGTATTTATGATGTTAACCCGATTTTTTCGAATGGAATAAGGGTGGCTCATCACTATATCTGGAAAGGGTATTTTGTTACGAACACGTTGATCCCACACAATCGATATTTTGAATCAATATCCAGTATCATAATCACTATACATATAGATTAAAAATTGAAAATTGAAAATTTCAGGATGATAAATGTCAAGAAGTAGTAAATTGGGTGTCAATGTACTCACAATGTTAATCTCTATAGAAATATGTAAAAATATACCGGGTGTCTCAATGGAAATAAGAAAATTTGGTTCATTTCCGGTGGAACCGGAAGTGACAGCAAACGATTGAATACGTCGAATAATATATGTTTATTTACTATACTCACAAACCGAATTTTATTTATCTATTTATAAAACCAAAAAAGTAATAGTGATGAGCCCCTTTTGAGAAACACCCGGTATATTACTCAGAGGGTAGGATGGAAATTAAGGTCATTTTGTAGGATATATTGTCAATACAGTACAATGCCCATTGATGGCAATTTAGTGAATCCATTGTAGTGCATACAATTATTAGCCTCTCCATTCAACAGCATAAAAACAAGTTCATTTCATTTCGTTCTAATTAAATAACTCCTCCGATATCTGATCTTGTCGAGTCATTATCTTTTCTGAAATGATTGTATCACATTTAATCGATATATGTTTCAATAAGAGCGTGCTATTCAATGAAATTTATACAGTTGAAAATACCTACTATAATTGTCAAATAACGGATGAAATATTACATAGATATCAGACATACAGGAGTCTGAAAATCTGAATTAATCTAAATATATATTACTGTATAAACTCAGATTAAATTGAAAGACTAGGTTTTCGTAAAAACGCTTGACCACGGTGATTTCCTTTTTTTGATGCCGTTTTCTCGATGTGTATACAGGGGAGCCAAAAACAAAAAGTTACAACTGTTATCCTCATTTTTCCAAATTGAATGGAGACACTGTCTGTAGGTTGATCGAGGAGGTGGTACATTCATTATTCCAAATTTTTTGGGATTTTCTCTCCTTGTTTCTATAAAATAAAAATATGAATATTATTTCAATATACGTGTAGTAAGGACAAATCAGATGATTTGCCTCAAAAAGTGACATTTTGGGGCAAATCATCTGATTTGTCCTTAGTACACGTATATTGAAATAATATTCATATTTTTATTTTATAGTAACGAGGAGAGAAAATCCCAAGAAAAATGGAATAATGAATGGAAACACCTATATTGTTTTACATTTTAGAATTCAACATCCAATTCTAGGTATATAGGTGGGTCTAATCGAAATAAGAAGGACCACAACAAACACACGAGTGCTGAACGAGCGTTTGTTTTTTCTCTTTGAATTTGGACTCATTTCGGATCTAATATATTATAGAATTTAATATAAATGATTTTTTCGAGTCGAACTATGCTTCATCATACGTTGAATGCAAAAACGAAACACCTTTATGGCAGGACTGAATTCTTTCTCAGTCTTGTCAATGTAAACAATTCACACTATAGCTCAAATTGAATATGGTTGTATATCAGATGAGAACAATTTTCGGTATGATATTCTCGAAATTCATAGTGGGATATGGGATATTCATTAACATTATTTTATAACAATCTATTTATTATAAAAAGGTTCAGATTCTTACTTAGGAACAGGAAGAGCTTGAGGTTCGTGTCGTCCTAAACCAACAGCTTCTTTGGAAGCCTCTTCAAATGTGAGTATTTCCATCTCTGCCTCCACCTTTCCCTGAATAAATTATCATGAGTATTACCATTATTGTTGTAAATTGAGAAACTAGCTTTCAGTCAGAAATAAAATTCTGGTATGAGGAAGTTGATTACAAACAACAATGATAAAATAACCTATGGTGACAACAACAACAAAATCTAAAAAATCTAAAAAATCTAAAAATGCTAAATCGATCAAGTCTTGAAAATTGCCACAGGGAATAATCAGTATATAGATGGCAAAGTATCAATCTCATCCATTTCGTGATAAAATCATGTGTTTCTTCAATCCAATTTCAAATCTTGAAATATATCTGCAATTTTTTATATTATGTGGTAATTTATTGAATTCAGCTAGAGCAGCGTGAGCAAATTTTTTTGGCAAATTATAGAAGTAGCAGAATCAAGAGGAAATAAGTTTAATTGTCTCGTGTGATGACCATGCATTTCTGAGTATCTTATCAAAACAAAATTGGATTTCAGATCATTGTATATTATATGAAACTTTAAGAGAATCCATTTCACATGATTCATCCAATGAAAATTTTTTTGTCATCGCATACAGATCATTCGTTGAGATATCAAATGAGAGGCAATACAATAATTTCAGTGATTTCTTATAAAGTGCAGATATTTTACTGAAATAATTTTTTGAACAAGATCCCCAAACACTTATCATATTGGTAATACGACTGAGTATATGAGAATGAAGTACTATGTTTATGACTTCTCTGTTAAGTTTAGGACATCTTCGCAGAGCTCAAATGATTATAGAAAATTCTGTCGCTTCATTATTAACGAAAATCTGTTTCCGAGCAACACCACGAATCCACGAATGAGTGGTATTGCTGAGGGGCAACAGAATTGAGTTGCAAATGAAAGACAGAACTCTGAGGAGTTATCCAGAACAGAGTGGTATTTTGCTAGACTATTCCACGTTCACGAAGCATACCGTGCAAATGTCTTTTTTCTGTTTGGGATCGAAGCACCTGAAAGGCCACCATCCTCTTGTTCTTCTCATCTTGAAGAGATTCATTGTTGGAGCATTTTTCTCTAAAATGGACAAATTACATTTCTTCACTGTCCTAGCCGGTCGATGCATCTTTGAAAGTTCCAAGGTCAATGTGCCTTTGAAAAAAAATATTATTTCATAATTATTTTTGAGGAATTACTACATTATACACAGTCATAATTATTTCGAAGGAAAACAGCCCTATCTCTAATAGAAAATATATTACGACTGCGGAATAGCGAAAATTCTAAAAGTAGAATATGTTAATAAAAAACAAAACCGCTGAATCGTTCGAACAAATGTTCAAAAAATAAACAACAATGGTAGATGATGGAAGAGAAACAACCAATTTCCAGGATAACGCTTCACACCCACAGACAGGTTTTGGGCATTTGGCTTCCACCAGTGTAGGATAGTCCTCAGGTAGTCGTCCTAGAACCATCAACTGAGATAAACCTGGGTGATTCGAAATTCGATTTAAGCCTTCCAAGGAATATTGTTGTGATCGAAATGAGACCTCTCTTTTCATTTTTACTAAAATGCACCTTCCATGAGCTACAGCCACTGTAAGTCAGGTAAAAATGAGGGTTATCTAAAATTTCGTTTGAAATAACGGATGAAATTTTTTGAAAATGTATGTCTTTTTGAACACGTGTTTCCTTCTCCCTTCAAAAATGATGTGAACTCAGTTTTGGGAGAAGTGGAGGGGTGTCCACACTTGTATTGATCCAAATTGTATGTTTAAAAAGAGATACTCTGAATAGTATGATCTTCTGGCCCATAAAAAATGTATGAATTCAGTCACTTGCATCTGTTTCATGCAACTAACCGTTTGCCAGAAAATCGTAATCGGAAGTCACTACATCGTTTTCGAACGCAATGGCTTGAACGCTTGCATACGGAGGTGATCGTATCTCGGATCGCAGATACAACAAAAATGTATATGTTGTCGGGTTTTGAATATCAAAAGCAATCCAACTTCAATAACAAGGATCAGAACCAATCTTGAATTTTAATTTTGTTGCCAATCTGACGTAGTGTTGTTCTCTGGTGTTGTATCATCCATCAATATCTATTATTTCCATGTATCTATTTTTGTGTTCCATGATCTGGGTGACTTGACATTTGACAGTTGAAATTTTGTGGTGTCAGTGTCACTGCACATGTAATTCCTCCTATTCAGCTGGTTATTTCCGAAGCCACATCATACTTTTCATTAGTTTGATATTTTCTTGGGTAATTGCCACTTTTCGGTGATTTAAGGGTTCGTGGGCCCTTATAAAATATGAACCCGACCCTTGAATAATCATTTCATAAGAATTTTAAAATTTTTATACTTTTTTATAAAAACACAATTTTACATTAACAGTATGTTTTCCGATTCTGAACTTCCTTTACATATCTATTTAACTGTTTGTATTCCAGATCATGGAGCAGTTGCCTTTGTTTGCTCTGTTATTGTCCACGTTACTTGAATTCCAACTTTTTTCACTTCCATGTAAGTAATCAATCATTGCATTATATCCTAAGTCAATACCGGTTTTTTCTAGAACTTTGAAATATTTTATCGGCTGATGATGGGCTTATATAAGCCCGAAACATGTTCCATTGATGATCTTTGATCATTTCAATAAAAGTTGTGGAGATGACTTTGGGTTTTCATCTATGAACAAGGATCATATTCTGCAGGAATGTTGGAGTTATTTCGTCAGAATGAAACTATGATTGATGTGATCAATTCATTTGAAATATTTTATTCCGAGTAATGAACAATCTCTTATATTTGTATGATTCACCTACTTATGTGGTTCAAAAACTAACCATACAATATAATTATTATTCACACAAGACTACTATTTTGGTTAATACGTGGTATTACTCCTTTGGTTAATACGTGATTAATTATTTTTATTGGTCCAAGAGCCACATGCTTCCGCACAATGTTGCCAAGCATGTTAAGGAACAAAAATCAGTGAAAATCACGATTTTCCCAAATTTAATGATATGTGGTACAAAGCAATCGATTTGGCACTGCAATTTCAGAGGCATGTAGTACTGAAATACTTGCACTTGATTCGTTATTATGATCACCATTTCAGATCATCATTTTTTTTTACCAAATCACAGTGGCTGCATCTTGGACGGGGTTAATTTATGACACATATAAATAAAAAGTCTTATTTTGATGCCAACAATACGTCTTCGAAATAATCACATCGAATTTTGAATCACACCCTGTTTATGACATCATGGAAGTATACCGAGAGCAACCCGAAAGGAACTAAATGACCAACTGGCTTTCGGGAACCTTGCTGAAATAGACAGGAGAATAGGGAACTATTTCTCTACTCAACTCTGCGTGAGTGCTAAAACTCATATTCCTGTGCCAAAACAGAAATATCGCTCAACTTCATCATGGATCCTATACGATAAAAATAAGTAACTTGAGATTAGACTCCCCTAAAAATGATTTTTTCTCTTTAATCTACATTCATGAAAACGTTTTCGAATAAACTTATATATTATCATCATTAGTTTCAGTATAGACCTACCTAAAAAATCATCCTTCGAGAATGTATCGTTGTCCCATACTTGCAATGTGAGTTTGCAGGGCAATTTGAACTCTGTCTCATCCATTGCGAAAAGAGACTCTTTCTTCCGCAAAATGACCTTATTTTCTGTCGGCAAGTATTCGAAAGGGAACACAAATCTCCAGTTGAAATTGCCTTCTCCAGTTAGAGAACGGTAATGAACATCTGTGTACTGGGCTTCTGAACTGTCTATTAACCACCTATAAATTAAATGAAAAGCGAGTGTAAGAGAGTAGAAATAACATACAGGCTGTTTAATTAGTTTCATCATACTCGATGGTTTTTTCGACCTGAATTTCATTTATGTTCTTTATTTAATTTGGTACAGGTAAATGTAAATTGACGTATTTGTCATCAGGGTACGGACAGATCCTCGTCTTCTCTTACTCTAAAGTGTTTGTAAAACAGTTATATAGCTCCATCTCTATTCATATCTAGGGATAAACCACTGATCTGTGGGATAAACACTAGATTTCTGACATTTGTTGTTTTTTAGGTTATATTGAGGACATTGGCGTATCATACGTAATTTCCACATGTAATTTCTCATTCAACTCTACATGATATATCCAAATGATGATGATAATTCACGAGTTTCTTCTTCTTTGTGAGGCAATGAGCAAATTTTTCTGAAAGTTTAATACGTTTTACCAAATGGGACTGTACTTAGGCAGTACCTATATATAAATAAATGAGTTTTGATTTCAGACTAAGCCTTATAGTTGAGAAATGGTGAAGAATTTTAGTTAGGTATTCAAACTAATGTGCTCATCTTCTGTGTGCTGTATATATTCATGTTGGAAATCATTTTTGCAGTTTTTTACGAACACTCAATATTTCCTGAATGAAAGTATAATTTTTTAAATGGTAGGGCATATACCTACCTCTCCTTCAATCCTCTGTTTTAATCAAAACTGTTTCTGCTAAAATGCATTCAAAAGCTTGTGGAGTAGATAATTATAGGCATCACAATGGGAAAGTTTGATATGTGATTTCGTATTAGTTGTACCTAGAATATTTTGCTGATGTATTTACCAATTTTCTCCATTCGGTCATTTCACTTTCCATGTTCTAAGTTAATTTGTATTTGATGGAAAGCTGATGAATTCAAATTTGCCATCCAACTGATTGATACAGCCTAACGCAGCACATTTTACCATCCTTCCAAAACAGAATTGAATAATTAAGAATTGAGATCAAGTATGAAATTGAAATTATGTAAGATCTCTTTTAAACGCCTATGAATGTGACGTGACAGCAATGTCATGTCAGGGACGCCAATACACGGAACCAAAGTCACTAGATGATTATAAGAGAAAGGAGCTATGATCTTTAGATGGCAAATACGTCAGTTTGCATCAAGAAACCCTAGGTACAGGTACTTTCAAAATTTGTCAAATTTAAGGTGTCAACAACATGATCTGTTTCATTATTCTCTAAATAACCAACATGATGCCTGCATCTTATGTATCAACGGATATTATTTAAGTAAATAACATTGACCGACTATTCTGTTTGTAATCGGTTATTTCAGATTCACGATGAATAATTTTTCGAAAATAGCTTTGTTTTTTCAAATGGAATGATTGTGGCAGCAGTCCAAGATCATTTTTCATAGATCGACATATTAAGCAGGTAGGTATATACAGGGTGAGTCAGAATAAGACCGACAAACTACGTATACGTTACCTCATTTTGAAGTGAAAAGTTCCTATCAAGGTACTATATGTATACTATGTGTACAGGGTGGTTCGATTTGTGATACAAAAAATTCAACAGAGTGTTGTATTCGTTGAAATAATAAAAATAGTGCATGCATATACTCTTGAGCGCGTCGTTTTCGAGATATAGGGTGTTAAGAATACGAATCGGAATATTAATTTTTGATGAAGAGTTCGAAACGGTTCTCATAGATACTGATGTGTCTCGTACTACAAGCTGTAGAGACATTTTTCGAAAATTCTCAATATTGACATTACCAGGTTTATACATATAAGAAATATGTGCATATGCATTTGCTAACCAAGATGGATTTTTGACAAATGGAAATATTCATTCTTTGAATGCTAGACAGAAAATGAATTTTCACATACCTTATTGCAAAAATATGTTATCTTATAATTCACCCACTTCAACGGCCCTTCGTATGTTCAATGTATTGCCCATGGAATTGAAAAGTTGTAAAACCTTAGTAATATTCAGAAATAAGTTGAAATTGTTTTTATTAGAGAAATCTATTAACTGTGTACAGGAATTCTATAAATTGTGATATCTGATTACTAAAGTTTAATATTTGTCCACTTTTTTACCAAGAGTTTTTACTTCAAATTTTAATTTTAATTTTAGATTTAGTATTTTTTTTATCTGATGTCTGACTAGTCCAATACAATTGTGATTGTCTGAAGGGATAATAAAAGTCATTATTATTATTATTATTATTATTATTATAAATACTTTTTACGCTCTCGTATGAATCACAATCCAATAATATTATTGAACTAAACATGTTGCCTTTATGCATTTACACTTTTCTCACCCTTTTATATAGATGTCTGATTTTCTTTCTCCACTGAAAAAATCGTCTTCATCTAACACTACTTCTTCAGTGTTCCATATAATAACCCGCAACTCGTATCGACCAGGCACTCTAGGAGTAATTTCTACTTTCTTTGGAGGAGGTAAATCGATAACTGGAAATATATCGATCCATAACTGCAGTTTTCCCTATAAGATCGATGGAATGTATATAATCAAGCATTATATTCATGTTCGTGGACATAAATGACCATTTTTGACGTCATTTAATTTATTAAACCAATGTAACATGCAGGGACGAACATGAAGAAGATTTTGGGGGGATGGGGGTAATAAGTGAATTTTGCCAACTTAGTTCTCAATTTTCCAAATATTGTTTTGGATAAAAACTAATGATACGAATTGATCACCCCATAGATGGATTATTAAAAAACATTGTCCTAGAGCTCACATTCAATTTGTCATTGAAAAAGTATAGAACGCATATTTATTCACAATATGATCGTTCCACATCAGTAGGAAATATCGAAATTTCGAGTTTGAACTGATGGGGATCCTGAAATACAAGAAATCTTATTTTCTACGAAGTTGGAAATTCTGGGTTTGTACAAATCCTGGATTTGTACAGAGTATTTCAATTTCACATTCAAAACCAGTAACTGATGGGAATTCCATATTTCTAATTAAAAGTTGTAATTTCCAACTCAAAATTAAGAATTTTATTTTCTCGACTTCCAGCTTTGAATTGTCTACTCATCAGTCGTAAATTTCGAGTTTGCAGTTGAAAGTTCATAGTTTGAACTGGAAATGTAGTTTCCCTTTATGTTTTAACTTGGAAATACGGACTACAAAATCGAAAATGTTTGTTTTTGAAGTAGGAAATTCCTAAATAGTTTAAAATCGAAAAGAACAAATATTTACCATGAAACGTTCTCTTTGTGATTCTTTCCCAAACTCAATTTGCCAACTGACCAAAGATTGGGAATGGGGAGGGGGAAGAACCCCCCAGCCCCCCTATGGGCCCGTCCCTGGCGACGTGCGAAAAAACAGCCTTATTCTTCGATATCATATATTTTCAAAAAACGAATAATAATTTTCAGGGCATTTACTGTACTTTTTGTCAAATGCCAATAAACACAAAATGTCATAAGACAGTTTGTTGATTTTTTACACTCACGCATATTCACAAAATCAGAATCTGCCGAAATTGTTATTGAAGACACATAAAAGATATCTATGAAATGAAACTGCAATTCAAATGACCTCAATTATATCCCATCCCATCAAATTCACATATAGAATTTAATATTAGCAAACAAGTTATTAGAAACTTAATACTTTACCATGAAGATATATCCGACATAATCTGAGAATAAGAAACATTGTCAAAAAAAAGTTAGATAGGTATGTGGAAAAAGTCTCCGAACTCATGATTTTCTTCAATCTCTGAAACTAGTGGTAAAGTTAGAAAAACATTTAGCCGCTTTGATACTCTTTCTGTTCGATTGTGAAACATGAATATCATAAGTGTGAAAAGATAAATATTTTGTAAAAAAGATCCAAATTGCGACCCATAATGTCCAGTTGCACAGTTACATTAACGAGAAATGCAGGGATCAAATAGCATAATCACCAATATAAAAATAAACTTTGTGATATCGACATCTTCCAAGAATGACTAGAAAGATAATAAGGATCCAATTGCACATCCATCATAAGCTAATTCAATTTGTGCAACATAATATTTCTCCCGTAGGTCGTGTTTATCACGAGGTCAAACCAAGTTATTATTTTGATTGATTGACGAGGAAGTATATCCAGTTCATCTTTATTCACGTGCAGTATAATCATCCGAAGGATCTATTCTCCTCTATAGGTAATGCTGACATGTACAACAACTCATCGAATCTGTTGCTCGAGTAATTTTTTTTCTCCATACTGCGTTCTCTTCCAGAATTCCCATTTCTTCCCAGGAAACTAAGAACTCACGGCGCAGGCAGGTCAATGCTGTCATTGAAGACCTTGCTGAAATCACATCCTGGGGAACCAACAACCTATTTGCATTCAACGCCACCAAAACTCAAGCCTGTGTGTTCTCTAGAAAGGCGGAACTCAGTATGCCCGACATTGTAATGTCTGGCACCACCATCTCCAACAAGCCCACCATATTATCTATGCTCGGTATTTCCATCAGCAACACTCTTTTAGTGGTGCCCGCGAGAGTCTTCTTTTCGAGAGTCTCGCATGGTCTCGTCTCGTTGTCGAGAAAAAACTCGAGACGAGACTCGTACAAGACGAGACGAGACTTTTATTGGTCTCGTCTCGAGTCTCGTGCCAGATTTCTCGTGTCTCGTGCGAGAGTCTTGCAGGTAAATATTTCTGCGTGCCGACTGCAGACTTGAGAATTTCATTCATAATACAACATATTTAAAAAAAATCAGCCTATTTAGCAAAGATAGACAAAACATTTCATTCATAGATACTTCAAAAACACAATCCACGATCGTTGTAAAACGACGTAGTGCGTGAAACGAAAAAGGACTATTCTCTCTCTTTCGGCGGCGGAATATAATGAGTCATTCTGTGCTAAATAGTCTAAGATAAAGAATAACTTTGTTTCGACGGGCCGCCAACGCAACGGTTGCATCGTCTATCGCCTTTTAGTATGTATATACCTATTAGGTACTTATTTTTCAATAAATAATGTTATTTTTATTGTAATTTTCTCTTCCTACTTCTACGTTATACCTAAAAAGTAGGTAAAGGTACATATCCCGTACTAGACTGGAACAAGATTATGCATGACGAAATTGCGATACATTTGCGAGACTCTCGTACGAGACGCGAGGCAACACGAGACTAGAGGCTGCGAGACGAGACTCGAGACAAGACTTCATATTCCATCGGCGAGACGGGACGAGACTTCATGAAAGTCTCGTCTCGTTGGTCTCGTGTGAATCACTACACTCTTTCATGGGATAATCATGTCAGGTCCATCGCAAAAGCTGCTTCACAAAAACTGGGATTCTTGTTGCGTGCGAAAAGCTACTTTTCACCTCCAGCTTCTCATGATCTACAAAGCGCAGATACGGCCTGTTCTAGAATACTGTTCCCACATATGGGGTTCAGCACCAAAACATACGCTGATGCTCTTAGATTCCATCCAGAGAAGAGCCATTCGCCTGGTGGGTGACGCCACACTCACTCACGCTTTGACATCATTGGAACACCATAGAAAGGTCGGCGACCTTTCACTTGTCTATCGATACTTCCACGAAAAATGTTCTCCAGAAATCTCTGCTATCATTCCTTCACTAGCAAGACCAGTCATCCTTTCGTTGTCAACCTCGAAAGAAGTCGAACAGCACTTTATCAAAACTCCTCCATCTATAGAACGGCTAGACTCTGGAATTCATTGCCTGAGGAAGTATTCCCAACAACATATAATCTCCAGAAGTTCAAAAAAAAATCCAATATCTACCTCCTGTCCTTATCCTCCCTAGGAACGCACGATAATCTTTGAACATTTTAGGGATTTCCTTTCGTGCGCTCCAAGCGATAAAAAAATCTTATAGAATTATAAAATACTTACACTTCTCCAAGCAATTAACGCACCACCAAAAATTATAGCCAAAAGTTCAGGAAAAATTTTTGGCAGAACTACGATTTGGACGTTTCTTGTATTGAATGGCAGGTTATTTCCTTCTGAACATTGGTATGCAAACTGTATTCGCATAAAAACTTATTTTTTAGTCAAACCGCGTGTAGCAATATAGATTGTTTTGTTCATGAAATTTGTAATCGTAACAATATCAAGTTAGAATGGAGGACTTCGCTCCAAGTGTCCATCAACTCAGAAACCTCTATCTATATGGTAGAAGTAACATTATAGAACTTTTATTACTCAAATGTCTTTATTTTGATTAAATCTGATTGTAGGAGTCTATTCAGCTCACTAAAATAAGTTATTCAATTGCCCCCACCCCTGATCCTCCTAAACGACACCCATGTACGTCATACTATACGTTAATCTTCAGACGTCATTAATATGTCACTGCAACATCATGGTATCAAAGCTTGCTTATAAATGTCATATTACCGAAGACATGTTAATGCGTCGTCGTGATTATCACGTCACCAAAAGAAAGTTAACTTGACGTCACTAATTGGTGACTGACCAAATGGGTACAGTTGGTACTGATGGGGTACTGTATACACCGACGTGATTTTTCTTCTGGTTTCAGTACCTTAGTTTATTTTTCATCACAGATTTAATCCTCACTGACCTGTTCCACACCAGGTTTCGAGGGGTGATACAAGGACCTCGTCTCGACGTGTTCGGGCACTAGTTCTAAACCAACTACCGGCATTTCTTTCCAGCGCCTCAGTGCGGACAGTGCGAGAACTTCTCGGTCGTGGTTCGGATCCCCACTACCTGAAAAGCAGATCTCATTAATGACAACGGACTAGTTCTACGTAGAAATCTGCGGGTGCAGTTGGAATTCCGAATGAAATTGGATTAGTTCAACGTGTGATACATAGAGGGACGTAGAAGTTTCTGTGATGAATCAATTTGACTGTGATATCTTTTTCTCAACGAGACCTTGTGAGCGTTTTTAGATTATAGAGGGTGAGTAGAATTGGACAGGAAAAGTCCTCTTCTCGAACTAGATACAAAAAACTGATATCGATGCCTGATTGATTTCCTGTACATCCCCTGTACAGGGTGGGCCAAATTGGGATATTTTTAAGGGAAAGTCCTATTCCCGTACAAGATAGAAAAAAACTGATGTCGATGCCTGTTGTTCAATTCATAAAAAAAAACTCAAAAGTGAAAACCTCATATCGATATCTATCTTTATTTCATCAGAGTTACAAGATGTTTTTCGAAACTGTGAATTTTTGAAAAGTGGCTGTAACTCGTTTTCTTGCAAGAATTTATCGTTTATTTCCAAAGCATTGAGTTTGTCATGAAAATTGATCCTCAGGCACTAAAATTATAGTCACCGTATACCTATGGTTGCAAAATAAAACTTTTCCTTCAAGAAGAACAAGTTATATTCTTGAACTAGATATAGGAAGGCCGATTTCAGCGCCTCGAGAACAATTTTTATCAACAACTCAAATGCTTCGCAGCTATTTTCCTAAGAACAGACAATTTTTGCCAAAAAAGTATCTGTAGTCACTTTTCAAAAATGCCCATTTTCGAAATACACCTTGTCACTCCGAAACGAAGACTGCAGATATTGATATTCGAATTTCACCATTGAGTTTTTCATATGAGATTCGACCAACATCAGTTTTCTTTCATCACTATATAAACTTAAAATATGTTGCTTCATTCAATTTGTCCCATATAAATTGAAAATTTCGAATTTAAATTTCAATGAAATCAATTCATTACATAATCATGGAACAAGACAATCAAATTTACTAATAGCAAATACGTTCAAGTCAAATATTGGCAAACAATCCATTTTTCACACAGGAATCGTTCTATACAACTCATTACCAAGTCAATTGAGGAATATACAGGAAGCAACTAGATTCAAAATTCACTCCAAAAAAAGTATTCTGAAATATCCATTTTTTATTTTTCGAATTATCTCGGAAACAGCAATTTCGGACTGAGGTTTGTTGCTCTGCATCGGCTTATTTTGACATCAGTGCTATGTGCTTAGATTTTGTACAGACCGTTCAGGGACAACCTGTATATCGATATAGGTAAGGTTTTCATCATCGAGATTCAGTTTATCGCATGAGAATCGACCCTCTATTTTTTTTATGTTCTTGTTCCCACGAAAAGGGATATCCTGTAATGTTCGTGAGAACCAAGGGAAATGAGGTAGGAATTGGTGTTCTTTTTCAATTTCAGGAGGTTATATGCCTCGGGGAACACCTTCCTTGGCAATGTGTTCCAGAGCCTCGCTTTTCGTTGGATGAATGAGTCTTTGGAAAATTGTATAATAAACACTATACCATATCAAATATCACCACTACAAAATATTATGATACTTATAGTCTATGATACAATTTTGTTGTGGTATTATTTGAAGAATGTATAGTGACTGGCGACAATTTTACTAAACATTTGGTATTCACTATCGACTATTTTTCTAAGTGTATATATAACTTTGTACTCATTCTTCATTTATTAGTAAAATATGCCCCACGAATAGATTGCCTTTTTTTTCGTCAAATATCTCAACTTCCAAAAGATAGTGAAGTACGACTGGAGTATAATTGGATAGAATAACAATCAAGTAAGGATAGTAGAAGAATACCTATTTTATTTATTTATATGTTTATATTCATTTATTGAATCTACTAAACTCTACATTTTGTCATCGAATATCAATTACATGTATATATATTCTACATTGTATCTCCTTCACATAGGTTAGAGAGCTGTGTGTGAAAGAGATGACTTATTCCACGTATGAAATCGTTTTTCCACAATATGAATACTTTAAAGTGAAAACAAATAATCAATTCATACAATAATGAGCATCAATTGAAATAAAGAAAAATATAGTTGAATAAAATAGATCATCGATTTTTTATTTAAACATATACATACTGTTACTTAGTTACCTACTTCGTACCAATAAGGACCCATAGGATTACAAACATGAACCTACTCACGTGTAAATGCAACAGGTGCGAATTTTTTGAAACCTACATCCACAGATATATCTCCATATTCGGGTGGATCAGTATTCCATCTTTTGCATAGATCTGATAAAAGAACGGACGGTTTGTGTTGATCTCTCCAGGCACAGTATCCCGATCTGCAAAAATAGTCTACTTAAGAAATATTGAGGAAAGCTGTAGATTTTTTCGATATGGCATCAACTCTTAGTCAAATCAATTACGTTTCGTATGTTTCAGCGATTCCACAATGTGCTCTATGTCTTGTGTAGTACCGTATTTCCAAATCTATTTCAGTTTCGCCTATAAGATCGTCTGCTGAAGCATAATCGTAGTCCCACACTGCAATCTTCAGTGTATGGTCTTGAGGAAACATGGCATCCATTTCAAAACACCTCAAACATGAACAAAAATCTGCATTGACTTTCTGTAAGGTCGAAAGGAATCAGGCAACTACAGGCAATAATAGCTGAACCAGATCTCATAAAAAAGAGATCTTCGATGAACATCAGAGTTGCCCCGATTGTCAGCAGGAACGAGACAGTACTGTTTCGGCCCACCAGACCTCATCAGCCGCTCTCCGTCTGCTGACAACTGGGACAACTCGACGCTTCGGGTATATCACCAATTTCTAAGACGCCAGATACCGTTTGAAGATCTAGTCATGCTATCGCCATCTAGTTACGTAATGTCTCGCTGCTGTTGACAATTGGGGCAACTCTGTTCAACCTAGATCTCTTAGTTATGAGTATGAGATCTAGTTCAGTGAATAGGTCTGGTGAGTTTACACTCAATTAATCATTCAGGTGGTGCCATCTGTCAGCAGAGTGTTTTACTTATAGTAGACATAAGAGTCCTATGTCGACTATAGATGGCAGCATGACTAGATCATCATGCAGTGTCCGGCGTGCAGGCACTAGGAAATACATAACAATAACATAAATTTTTTATTAGTCGACAACGCACGATGTTCTTCGAACATTATAGGAATTTCCTCTCGTGCGCTCTAAGAGATAAAAAAACACACGATAATGACATCAACTAACTGAGAAACTTGAAGTAACAAATGCATTTTATGGCTTCCTTTTGAATAGATTTCGGTGGTTCCGAAACATAAACTGATCGTGAACTTTTTTTTGATAAAACTCTTGAAATTCATATTTTGCTACTTTTAAGTTCGCAACAAATCCCCTAGAAGTCGAAACTTGTGCGGGGTTAGAAAGAGCGCGTCCTACAGATTATAGTAGAATCCGAATTCCGATTCATATAGCAAAAAACAATTTCCTTTAACTTTTCTCGATCAGTCCATTTTGATGTACTGAGTATACCCCAGATTGTTATCAAATACTGATGCAATCTGAAGTAAATCAAACTAAAAATTAATCGATTCGAAGGATTCAATTGGTAGTAATGATCTTAAATAATATACCAACAATGGTAGATATTTTTTCCTGCAGCATTCGAATATCCGATGACCATGACTATACCTTGTATAAAAGCTATAAATTTAAAACTTTTTGTAGGATTTGTGCAAGAGTTTCAGAACTCCGATATGGGTATCGAGTATAATCAACATAAGGAGATCCCTTTTAAAAAATAATTACCAAAAATTACGTTTTAACATAACTTGTGATCGCGATATCCGAGTTTTCTTTCGTTTTCTTCATCGTAATCAGAAGAAAGAATACAACTATAGTTTATCCATTTGACAGACTTCTGAGCTCCAATAATAACCAAGTTAGGAATAGTGGCAACCTAAGTTTGAAAACCCATTATACCTCCCAAAAACTGGATTGACATTCTTCTTAACAAAGTTCTTCTGATCATCAACAATTCTATTGTTCAGCGTGAGGTACAAATAAGGATCGGATTTTCCATTGAGATCCTTCGGCCGCAATCCCAATGCTCTCACGCAATAGACGCGTAACAGATACCTCAATGGGCTGTTTTCTGGAAAATCGTGGAAAACTCCGTGGTCCAGAGGTATACCGCTCTCGGTGACGTAATCCGATTCGTTGTTTGGCAGGCGGTAAATTTTCACCGAGCCCTTGAACGTTGCGGTTATGTTTTCTTCGTCCAGAGTCTCGTCGCCTGTCTTCTTACCCTTGTAGAGATCGAAGGAGGTCAGTATGTCCGAGAAGCCCTTGAATTCTGGCTGGTTTTCCAATTCACTTCCATAAACCTATCAAAAATGTTCGAATATTTTGGTCCAATGATTGCGCTGAGAGCGGTGTTATCATAGGTAATACAATGAGTCCAATTTTATATCGATTTTATTGTTTTTCAAAGTTAGATAATATGTTTGGCGATTTCATAACCAATGTAGCTATGGATTCGAGCAAATCATTCGCCGGTATTGTAGTGCCTATTTCACTCTTGTTTTTGAGAACCAATCACATTTATCCTTTTAACGATCAATTATGGAGACCCTGTCTATGGTCCCTTGAATTTGGCTAATCAATTCAAAATACAACGTGTTCAAAATTCTTGATTTGTTCGCTCCATCTTAGGAATACGTAAATTTGAACACATTTCTCAAGCTCGTACCAACCTTGGTTGGATTTCAATGTCCGTTCTCAGGGAATATAACTACTGCAAGATTACTTATTTAGTATTGAAATCGAAAAAACCTGTTCCTTCATTAAATAAATTGACAAAGAGGTTAGAGCTCCATTTTTCCAACCTTCGAACTAACCAAAACCTTCACATCCCTCGTCATTCGTCAGCTATGTTCAGAAAATCATTTTCCTACTCAGCTGTATTTTTTCACAACACGATTATTGAAGATCTTATGCAATTCTCGAAATCCACACTCAAAAAGAAACTAATGGCAATATTCAATATGTGATGAGAAGAATTACATTCTTATTTCAAACTATGTAGCTTGTTTTATTTTTTGTCCAGTTACTCTTATTCTCATAATACATAATAGGTTAAGTGTAAGAGTAGCTATAGATAAACTTCGCCTATTATGTAATATTGAAATACTAAATAAAGTCGATTATTATTATGAGTATTGTTATTTACTGTGAACCGTTTTTGGGATGCGTGTCCGATAAACGCAGAATATAAAAATTATACGTAAGAAGATTTTTATTAAAGAACTAAAAGAAAAAGGTTGGGTGGTACCAAAGTAACTCCACGATGGGTCTACATCGCTTTTGTTAACTTTTTTGTTAGAGTGCCAATGTAACCGCAATACGCAGCACCCAAATGCACATCACACCTCACCTTGATCAATAATGATAAAAGGAACAAGGATGCAGATTTAACTTAATTTTTGAAATCTGCTAGTGATTAAGTGGATTATCTTTTCATAAGATTGGTGAAGAGGATTATATTTTCGAATACAATTTGTTCTTCGAAATCCGTTCATTCAAATATTTTTAATTTTCATCACTCAAACTTTCTCATTTGAGGCAAAACCGAATATGGAAAAATCAAATATTACTTTTCTCAAGGCACTCGTAATTTATTGAATCAGTTTGGTTTCATATTTCTGCCAGATGAACAAGTTTTCATTGAAAAAAAAAGTATTGCGATAAAATTTTAAGAAATCGTGGTATTACCTAAATAATGATACCATCACACAAAAACGTTATACATATCATCATTATTACCTTGAGTTTTTGTATCCTTCTAGTTATACTCTCATCGTACCCTACCTGGAAATTATCATTGATAGTATATCAAACCAATTCTTGGAGCAGGCTCATTTAGAATCAAATTACGCGTAGGTACCTCTATTGATGCATAATACTTTGTCCACCAGTCATAGTCTTCTTCATCATCAGTAATATCTTGTGAAAGTAGCTCATAAGTTCCAAGCGATGATACACTTTTTCCAAGTTTGCCATGCTTCGATTTGAAACAGTTCCCGAAAATTCTCATCAAAAAGCAGGTCTTCTTGGCAGGGATATCAACATCCTGTATGTCTGAGACAGACATGACATCTATATCCTTCAACTGTATCTTCAACGCAGAGCCTACATAAAAATTCAAATGACACTATTCCACTTATCTTTGAATTCTAATACCTATAACCTGACCAATCACAAACCGAAGAAAAGTATATCAGGGCCTCAAGTTGTATAACAAAATCGGCAATGAAAATCAACAATTTGAATTCGGAAAATTCAGAGCTTTCTTCAAGAAATATCAAATCTTACATTGTTTTTACTCTACTGATTGAGAAATATCGGATTTCCGATTGTAGATTTCTTTGTTTTAATTCTTACAGCTGGAAGATACTAAACAATAGTTCATGCCTTGTTTGTGCCTATATTCTTCAACATGTTTGTTACTTTATTGTCGTGTTCACAACTGTATCTTAGTTTTTTAATGATTTTCAAAAGAATGGATGAATAATACTTCTATTTTATTTATATTGACTTCGAATCTTGTTTCATCTTCGATATGTTTCAAATCACAAGGTAATGTAGTATGTGAAAAGTTCAGATAGGAACTTTGAGACCGTTCCGACCAATTATGAATAGTTTCGACACAAAAAATTTTTAAAGTTAAAAATCTCGATTTTTCACACCCTATGATCTATATATCTTTATTATCATTTCCGCTAGACCTTAGTGTGCTAGATCGATGAAATCAGTTCTCTAGAGATAATCTGAAAACGGAATGATATACAGTGTGTCCTATCGAAAAAATCAAAATTGTTGCTACTTTTCAATATAAGCGGCAACGTCGCAGCGCTGAGAATATTCCAGGTCGTTAGAACACAAGTACAGGGTGATTCTCCATAAATGTCCCCTCCTCTAGCTCAGTTATTTTTGAACCGATTTCAAAATTTGAAAAATCATCTCGAATGATTTTCGATAAAGTTTTTTCCGCTGCATCAGAAAATACAGGGTGCTCGGAACAAACGATCTATAGGGTACTATTTGATTTTTCTAAATGGAACACCCTATTTTTCATTGTATTTTAATATTCTCCCTGATAAGCTGATTTGATCAATGCATCACACTTGGGGTCTAGCGGGAATGATTACAGAGATAAAGGGTGTTCAAAATCGAGATTTTTTTCAACTTGAGGATTATTTTGTGACGAAACTATTCATTATCGGTCGAAACGGCTTCCATGTCCGTATCTCAACTTCTGATTCACTATCAACTGACATTTAATAATTGGAACAGATACAGGGTGATCAGAATTCTGAATCTCGAACCTCCCTATAAATGTTTCAATTAAATGTCAGTAGATAGTAAATTGAAAAATGAGATAGGAACAAAGAAGCCATTTTGACCAATAATTAATAGTTTCGACACAAAAAATTCTAAAGTTCAAAAATCTCGATTTTGAACACCCTATATCAATGTAATCATTCCCGCTAGACCCTAAGTGTGATGCATTGATGAAATCAGCTCTTCAGGAAGAATCTAATAATACACTGAAATGCAGGGTGTTCCATTTGAAAAAATCAAGTAGTACTCTGTTGATCGTTTGTTCTGAGCACCCTGTATTTTCTGATGCAACGGGAAACAAATTTCTGAAAAATCATCTCAGATTATTTTCAAAATTTTCAAATCGGTTCAAGAATAAGTGAACTAGAGGGGGAGACATGATGGTGAATCACCCTGTACTCATCCAAGAAACCAAGTTTTCGAAATGATCCTACGTGGCGTTCCCCAGAAACGTTCAATGTACCATTCACCGAGAATCAGCCTGTATATCCAGTTACGAATTGAGCAACTATAGGAATCTTTTCATATATGCGGAGGGCAATTGATTATGATTCATGTATTTTTATAGCCACACAATTTCTGTTATCTCGCAACTATGTTGGGTTAGATTAGGTTAGGTTAAATGTGAGTGGCTCTATTCGACCCCCCCCCCCCCCCTCCCTCCCGAACTATGATTTTCAAGGGTCTATTGTATTTAGTTTCATTGTTGAGTGATCTTCCGGGTCCGAGCAGGGCTATCCAAGAATGTTTCAGATATGTCCACCTGAAATATGGTTGCATTGGCACCAAGATAGTTAGATATCTCTGTCCTAGGTCTGCGACCGTATATTCCTTTACCAGAGCCTATTGGTGTTTTTGAACCATTTGTGAACCAACAGTTATGGTTATTCTTTCGGAAGAACCAGTTGATCCATGGCGTAGATAGCCACTAGCCCATTATCTCAAATATTCAGATCAGAAGATTCTGCGAAATCTTACTTGATCTGGATGCCAAACTGTCATTTGATTTGTAGCCTAGTCCAGCCAATTTTCTCTTCCTTTCCTCTTTCGATATCGGATACATTAGAAAAGGAGATATAGGCGTGATATGTACTCCTGCGAATACATACACTCCAAATCTTCTGCTGTCAAATATCTTGAAGCGTAGAGGAGGTGCATAATCCTCTTGAAGAGGTAAAATCTGCAAAAGTCCAAGTGAAAATGACCTTCACTTTTGCTAGGGCATTGAATAATCCTACAAATGATAAACTTTTAGATTGGTTAGAAAAGTTTGAGCACTTCGAAGCATTTTCAATTGTATCAGAATTCAAGATGTGATCCCCACATAAGACTGTCATTCTGGGTCGACTGATGTACATCAGGTTAACTTTTCTCAAATTCCTAACGCCCCAAAATAGAACTTCCATTTTGTGAGCGACCAGTTCCGGTTTGATGCCTTTAGGAATGCTCATTGTCTTCTTTCTAGTTAGCTCAAGTTCCACTAGTTGCCTTTCTTCAGTCAACTGAGAAAAACATCAATTTTTATTCCCTTCAGGCTGGTGATGAATAATGTCATTACCTCTATGTATTCAAAAGCAGCAAGTATTTCTGCCGGAACATCATCTTTGAGTAATATCTTATGCCATTTCAGTTTGGGAGAATTATATTCGTCTCCATCTAGAACTACGTCTGGTACTATAATAGCTCTGCCAACAAATTCAGTTTTACACTACGAAAAAAATAGTATAATCATTATGACCAAATTTGAAGAGTGAATCTCACTAGCTCATCTTGATCAAACACTTCTAATAATATAGTTGGAGGATTAGATTTGATGTAAGATTTAGATCCATACAGGACTATATCATCGAATACCAAAGTTTCATCCCATATAGGGTTCAGACAGCCGTAGATAACCTACGAATATAATTGGAAAGTTTGTGCTCCCTCAAGTAACTAATGTTTCCATACCTGGGTATCTTTGACACGGTTTTTGATAATTATTCTGACTAATGGATCTGCCAAACCTGACTTATCGAATCCTGAAATTATTCTACCTTGGAAGATATAAGCCCTCAGTTGGAATACCTACAATATGTAAGTACACTGTACACGCAATTTTGAAATGATTTCATGACCTGACATATTGTGTATCTGCTACTAAACTTGGTGGAAAATATTCAATATCTTCTTGAAATTTGTATCCTGATGGTATTTTATTCAGGAAATCCTTTTCATGTCTGTCGAGGTAAGCCACAAAAAATACGTTAACTTTCATCATCAGATTCTTCTGTTCTTTCACGTTACCCTAGAATATCAAACTAATCGATGAATGGTATATATTGTTACGATAGTATTACATAGAAACAGAGGGTTCTCTTCCTTCCACAGAATTGTCCATTTTCTTCAAGAACTTGGGATGAGATGATATCTCGGATCGGTATACGCTCAAATGCCAATTTCTTTTTTCCACTCACAACCCAGAAGAAGATATCTGGTATACTATCTTGAATCTGTATCCAGAAATGTTAGATGTTTCTTAAGTGTTCATGAACAGTACTAGGGCAAGAAGACTTACATCTTCAATGAGAACTTCAATTCTATTACAATACTTCTGAAGCTTCCTGAAGGTTTTCTTTTTAGAAAATTTATCATAGACAGTTTCAACGCGACGAATGATATCAATCTACAATGAAATTGTTTACAGTAAAACCATGTCTTTATGCTTTCATCGATTAACCATTTCTCTGATACATAGTCTTCTCCTTTCCATATCCAGGTTGGTATTATAGTCTACACGATATGCGCTTACTATATCGATATACATCTTTCCTGTTGTCAAAACGTAATCGATTGAATCTTGTAGTTTCATATCAATCTCATTGGAAAGCAACTTCACATGAAAATTGTTGAAGAGTCCCTCAACTTCAGTCAGTCTCGTTCGCTTGATTTAGTAACCTTTTATTTATTACTGAATGAAAATTCTCATAATATAGGCACTTACCAAACCAATAACCATTCTGGAGAGTATGTTATTATTATAAACGCTCTTCTTGAAATTGACCTCAGTTGTTAACCAAAGACATGGTTTTTCTTCCAGCAAAGGTATGCAATAATAGTTCTTCCGGATATTGTTGGGTTTCCGTGCTGGGCTTTCATTTATCAAGACATCTTCGCCAGACGGTAATGGTTTGTACTGTGCAACAATTTCAGCACAAGTAATCCTAAAGGATATAGGTTTACCAGAGTACTTCTTGTTGATTGCTGTTATATCGAAGATGCAACAGAAAATGGTTATTCCTTGATTGTGAAAATACTTGGTCTGCAAAATGATCCAATCAGTACATTAGTTAACGTTAGACAATTTGTTTATTTAAATATGAAACGCTAATTCGTGAAAGGATATATGTCACCAAATCGCGTCATGTATAAATGATCTGTACCGGTAGAAGATAGACAGCCACCTACAAACTTACTTCATTCAGTGGAACTATATTCTCAATGAGAGTTGTCCTTTTAGAATCAGGAATCAACAAATCTTCAATCTCTGTTTGCATGGACATGAGAATGCTGCCAACGTAACCCTCTAGTTTATTGTTGGAGTACATATGGAGCCAAATTGGTCCGAATGTGGGCAGAAAACCCTCATCTTTGTCATTGGATATGGATTTGAGATTGATATATTTGACTGAAATAACTTTCTTCTTCATTGTGTCGCCGAACCGTATTTCAATTTTCATCCTCTGACATAGGGGTGGGAATAAATCTACAATTTTCAGTCGCTCATTGAATTCCGGAGATGCTGTGTGTTTCTGAGTTGCTGTTCTCCCCTTGAATATGAAGAAATATAACTGTCATTGAATACTGTTCGTGATAGTATTTTTGTCACTGAATTTCGATATAATTTGATGATGAACGTATTATTTGTACTTATATACCTATATCAAAAATACGGTTGGTCAAACGTGACCATAGATTTTGAATTTAATGTCGAAGAATGCCCTGATATATCTTCAGTATCGACAATTTCAGGCGTATTGAGGAGTCAATTGTACAGATTCAATCATCGTAAAAAAATGTTGAAAGATAATTATTCTCATGTATCGAATTGTTTTATTTTTGTTCTTCGAACCATAGTTAGGCTCGTCAGTATACATCACTGAAATATAAGTAGGTATCACAGAACTCATAATCTTTTACTAAAACGCGTGATCCTATGGTTTAATGACAAATTTATGCAGGGTCGAATTAAGATCCCTTGGCGCCTGGGGCACAATATATTTTTCCGCTTCCTATACACTTTAAATGAAAGAAAAAAACTTCATGATATTTATTGATCATCAAATTATAGATTAAAATATATTAATTCATCCATCAAGATGTTTGTCCATTGGTATATGAAAAGTCAATAACAAAACCATAAAATGTAGTTGTTAATATAATAACTCATATATTCAGAATTTATCTTGTTTATATATCTTGCTTATATACTTATTTGCAAACTGTTCGTCCCAATTCTGAATTCGCCCTTGGGCAATTGCCCCTGTGGTTAATCCAGCCCTGAATTCCTGAACACAACAAGGGCATTAGAATATGGGTCAAATTATACTAATCTCAGACTTACGTGGATAAATGATAATACGAGATGGGAGAGAAACTACTGAGACGTAAGTCATACATTTTCATCCGCTTTTTCACGAACAACGAAATGTCAGTTTTATTAGCTGCCACTTGTGACTGCTTTTTATCTTTGTTAATATCGATATCAAACTTACTACTAACGTATGTCCTAAAAGTCTTGACTTTTGAGATACAGGGTGATGAAGTTTTGAAAAATAATCAGTTTTTCAATAATAACTGGGATGATATTGTAGACATCGTTATGAAATTCGGTACATATCTTCTATGCATCATCAAGGTGCATTTTTTCATGTATACAAATTTTCATTTTCCCTACCAGTGGCGCCGTTATTCTACTTTAAAGTGAGCAACGGAAAATTATTTCCAAATTTCATACAATGCTATGATAAATCATTCAATTTGGTACAAAAAAGATCCCCTTGATGATACTCGATAGGATGCTCCGTTTCCGAGAGAAAACGGAAAAACGAGATCAGACTTCAAATTTTGATGTGAATGCTTTGCTGCCGTTGGAAATCGGACCAATATATTTTTTGATAGGTGTCTCAAGCGTTGACTCCATATTACTTACTGATATTCCAGCAAAAGTTATCTCAATGAATGTGCTCGGACCACTCGGTTTCGATTTGTTTTCAGCAGCATCAACAAAAGCTTGCGGAAGCTTCTGCGCAATATTTTTACATTTGTAAATGTCGAAGATATAGGTAGCTTTTTGACGTTCACTGAATATTCCATCAGGTACTAGTAAGTTACTGAAAAGATTGAATATCATCAATACCCTTTGTTAAGTGTCCTCAAAGTCCTCAAATTCGATTAATACTTCAGGATTGGTTTCGATTGCAGTGTTGTCTGAATGAATATTAGCCATCATGTGCGAGTTGAATATTATATTTGATGTTAGTATATAGATACAATTATTATTCAAAAGTCAAGGAAATTTTGAGAGTTTAGAAATTTATCTCTGTAAATAAGATAAGTAGATTTAAACTCACGAGATATCATTCATCTTCAAAATTTTTATCGTATGAAAATCATCAATGCGAGCGTATCACGCAAGCGTATTATTATGGGTATAATGTCATTTCAGTATGTGGAATGAATCACTTCAATCATTATTCATCTGAGAACATTGAGTACCCGAGTAAAATTCAAATGTATTGGAATATCTATATGCCGGCCATTTTCTCTACATCATTATACTATTACGCACCCTTCTATGTCATCATTGATGATATTCACTGGCACTCTTGGCACTTGTCCTTTTGATAAAACTGATATATCAAGTTTTATGTATCCTCTAGGTCCAGTGAATATTTCGGATTTCGGTGTACTAAGTATTGCCCACTTATGGTAGAATTGATGATCTGATGAATTGATATTCATTTAGTGATGCAGTCAAAGAAATTGAGCTGATGTAGTTACTATTTTGATTCCATATGGTGCCAACATCTAGAGTAACGTATCCCAGCGTCTTTCTTTTCCTCCAAATATTTCTTGGCTGGATGATCTTGAAGAAGATTATAATTCGTTAAGATGATGCAGTGAAAGGTGGACCTCGAACTTACAGTTATTGTTATCTGTTTGTCGACAAGTGTTTCGAAACTAGTGAAATATTCGAAAACGAAATACTGGAATTTGATAGGGATAAGATATGTCGGTAAGCACTATTATTTCTGAATTGTAATGTGGATAATACCTACCTCATTGTAGAAGGGACTGTCAGTACATTTCTTAACAGCAGTGCATTTTTTCTTGTTATCCATTTTTATGATGACTGCGGAATCCATATTCATCCAGGCATAATGCCTTCCTTCTAAGACCGCAACAGTTATCAAAAATGTTTGATTTTTTTCGGCAGTCATTCTGTTCTCAGAAAAATGACAGTTTCTTTCTTTAATGCCATTCATTCATGCCATTCTACATCCATCACGGATTGTCATTTGACACACTGGGTGGACTTTTATCCAACGAGTTGGGTACTTCTTGAAACCATAAAAATAAAAGTCAGGATATTTTGTAATTATTGATGATATTATATTTACTGTATAATATTATGATACAAATATATATACAATTAGAGACTGGGTGAAACCTATTATGGTTAGTGAAGGGATCACCCAGTATTTCTTTTATTTTTGCAACAATTTTGATATCCAATAAAGTGAGTATAGGTATAGCATATTAAATTTCACCTACTCTTTTGGTAGTACGGATATTCAAACTATTATCAACTATTTCAGGATAATATTGGTCCTAGCAAATTTTTTACAGGTAGAGTTGATAACAATATCATCCTATATGTGATATACCTAATATAAATTGCACAATATGTGGCACTTGTTTATAAATAAATATATATACAAAACAAAGTACAATTTCAGTTGAAACCTGCTTTCTATACAAAGGTCCTTTCTATAATATAAATACCTAGAACCTATGATCTAACACATAATAAATTTATCACTATATTGAAGGAACATATCTGAGTTCAATTACCATAAATTCCTTTGAACATTTACCAATTCTTTTGACATAATAACTCATCTTTCGGTGTTATGGAATTGAATAATAAATCTGGTTCTGTTGGGAGTTTCAGCAAATTTTGCTAACAATAATTAGTGGGTAAGAATTTTCAATGAAGCGGTTAAGATTTTACATTGTTGAATTCAACATTTCTTCTGATCTTTATGAAAAATGGCAAATATTTGTTAATATTATTCCTATAAGCATTAGTTTCTTTTCAATACATATCACTGAAACTCAAGGATTGGGAATTTTGGGAATGAATATGATGATGTAGGTCATCCAATGATTGATGGGACAAACTCGAATCCATGATCACTGATCCTACTGAGGGTGGACCGTTGGGTCCTTGACTTTGGATGTTGTTGTTGTTGGACCCCTCTTGTCTCATGATGTTTCGTCTCCATTTCGCTCGAGCATTTTGAAACCAAACCTGGAATAATGAATGAATGCTTATTATTCAAAGATGCATTTATCTCAATACTGTGAGTTTTGTATCCTATTTCAATTCAATGTATTGTATTCAGAATTTTCTTCGGTATAACATCCAAATTGCCGACAGATTTATCCATAACCACGGCCGTGATCTTGTTATTTTTGCTTTCTACTTGATATCGACTCATGATGATTTCGGTTTGAAAATTATCGAATTGTATCAATTTATATCCAAATGAGGTTGAATGAATCAGAATTGAAGTAGCATTATTGAAATTATTTAATAATTTATTAGTGTTGAAAGGATTATTTCTAAAATACATTGTGAAAGAATCTATCTTTTTTTAGGTGACATACAATACATTTCATTTCAGATTGATGGTACTATAAACGAGCTTACTATGAGCAAGTTCTATCTGATTTTGAATGACATCAATAACAGATCGACCGTAAAACATGTTCATATAAATATTTACGGGTTCCCTAAAATTATTTTTAATTTCATTTGATCAAGAAATTGAACTGAATTTTGCTTTGATTGCTAATATTATATAAAAATAATGTTGAAATCATTTTTAAATAACTTAGGTATTCATTTGAGATAACGAATCACTCAATATATAGCAAATATAAATAATCTTTGCCATCATGAATTACTAGCAATGATTTGGAAGTTGTTCAAAAACAACTAAAAACTGAAATGTATTCAAATCTTTCCTGAGAACATTGAATCACTTCTGATTTCTTACTTATAGTGAGATTTCACTCAGTTATGCATTCAGTGAATGATGGAATATTTACATTTCCTTTATTATATCGAAAGATATTTAATATGTATTATGCTGAAAAAATAATCACTACTATATTGAAGAATCATCATCATTGATCTAGAATCACGTGATCATTTAAAAGAATGTTTCAAATATTTGATTCTGATTTGTGATTTGTTATGCGGCTGCAAATCATTATTGTAGATCCTCTGTACCTATTTGAGGTAAGACCCACTATGTCGGTACACCGTTTGAGGACTCATTGCTTTTTCATTCGTTACTGATGCATATTTGGTAGAGAGTCAATGTGAGTGAAATTGTTGAAGTAATCTTCACTTGAAAATGGGTGTTTCCACATTTATTTCCACTCTAGTGGGGTTAATTTTCATTTCCATGGGCAAGCCCGGAGGAGACAGAAAGACGATTTAGTCTTCAGAGCCATCTAGTGACATGTCCACAGATAGATCTGATCCTTCAGGTTGGAAAGTATAGGAGATATAGAAGTTATGCATGTCAAGGTTAGTTTATTCGATTGTACCAACCAGTATTCCACCTGATGAAGCTACTGTGTTATCAAAACATGTCGTGTGTTTGGGAATTTTGTGGAAATCTTATTGTTTGTGGAGTTTTCACATTCGACGTGGATTTCCATTAAGTAACGGACGAGTCGATAAGAAAATAGTCATAAGTCCACTCGCCCATTGTAGACTAAGAAAATCTAAGAAGAGAAAAAGTGGAATTCGGGAGCAATTTCATTCGTATAAATTTACCTGTAAAACTCTTTTCGATAAACCAGTTTTCTGTGCTAGCTGCTTGAGGTCTTTCGCATCTGGGTTTTGGTTGATGGCAAAGTAGGTCTTCATGGTTCTGAGTTGATGGTGCTTGAAAGATGTCCTCATTCTCTTCGTTCGCTGATTCTGGTGACCGTTACTGGATGCTGGTGAAGTTACTGATGAATCGTAGCCTAACGACTCCATTGAAGATGACAATTCGCCTTGCTGAAGCATTTCTGAAAACAAAAATGTTCAAATTCAATTCTTCAGAAGTAATTTCGTAAACGGTCACTATGCAATTTTGATTGAGATAGATCGTTGGCAGTTTCAACTATTTCTAGTTCTGTTTAACTTAATAAATCATGTTTTCATATAATGTCTATAACCTTCATTCTTCTGTAAATATATCAGATAAAATTGCTCTTCAATATACCCCTAACAAATGAAATACCTCTTGTGGAAAGAACAATTGCAAGAAGGACCATAACAGATCCTTCATGAATTACATATAGTAATCATAATAATAGGGCTCTAAACCTTCTTGGCTGAGAAGAAACCAAGAAAAACCTCAACTGGAAATCAACAGACAAAGAGCTCTTTAGTATTGGCGAGGCAGAGCTAAACCTTATTACAGCTCTTCTCCCAGGATAATGCTCTCTGAGGTATCAGCCCAATAACATGGGACGATAACCGAGGAGGTTGTATAACTTATGGAAAATGCAACAATCCTGGATATGCTGAAATAGTTTGCAAAACACGTGACTGTTTGGTAAGTGGTAAAATAGGTAAATATGGCGACAAAAAAGGCGCTTTTTATCTTAAAATTACCGGCATGAATATTGACAGGCCTTATTCATTCAGTGGTCGCAGTCGCAAAGATGCTTCTCATCTCATTGTTGTCTGGGATGGTTGTGTAAGTTATCAATGATGCGTCAGTCAACTTCGCCTGAACTATTGGCTGGCTTTTTTAGGAACCAGTTCAAAAACATTCAATACGGCAGCCATAACAATTAACCCAAATCTAAATGCCCAACAAATTGTTTCGATCCGTCGACAAAAAGTTCCATCTGTAAAATTCCCATTATTCTCGAGCCAATGATTGAAGAGACAAAAAGCAGTTCTGTCGCTACGAACCGGTGTATGTGGAAATCGATGAAAAAATCAGGTGCAGTTAGAAATGGAATTGACGAAGGCCCTTTCGGATGGCTTTGACAGTCTGACAGTGTTGCCCACCTTATGGATTCATCTGCAGATTCTCTTCTCGAATGTTCTTGCATACTTGGTGGTAGGTTTCTAGACCATCGAAGTCTGTTTTAGATGGTATGAAAATGGAATAGGTACCTAAATGAAGTATATCCATCGGCATCAACAGGGTAAACAAATGTTCATTACACCCTGTGTAATCATTCACAACCACTTTAGCTTGAATATTACCACTATGTAATTAGTATAAGCATCACGTGATGTTGAACCATTTTTGGTCACAGATTCAGATTCAAATTTCAGATTCGGATTTATTCAGATACCATAAGTTGAAGACAATTTGGATATAATAATGACATAATGATTCCACTCCAAAAACGAGTAATATGCCTAAGCAATAGAGATGCTTGTATCGTAGCATTACGTTATCTTTGAAAGTGGTCAATAGGTGAATTTGATATAAGCGAACAGATCGTGAAATTGGTCATTTTATCAAGACTCCTTCAACCATAGAACGGCTAGGCTCTGGAATTCATTGCCTGTGGAGGTATTCCCAACAACATAATTATGATCTATAGAAGTTCAAAAAAAATTCCAATACCTACCTCCTGTCCCTATCCTCCCCAGGAACGCACGATGTTCTTTGAACATTATAGGGATTCCATTTCGTGCGCTCCAAGCGATAAATATATATATATATAAAGAGATAAAAAAATTACAACTTTTGGAATCTATATCGAACGCGAGAGGTGAAAGAAATATGAATATGCTGAGATTCAATGTGGGAAAGAGAAGCCGGAGATTTCAGCAATTTTTTCATTTTCAAATAAGTTTTTTGTCGATTTATTTCTTTCGAATGCATTCATTATAGAAAATTCTCAATGAATTCTCATTCTTATACTGGACAATGAATTGTTTGATTGAAACTTTTGACAAACGGTTAGTGATTTTGATAGGATTTGATAACAAATTATGTAATTTTGGTCCATAAAAAAAATAAATCTTTCTGTATACGTTTTTCGAAATATTGGTAGGACAATTGAATTATTTCCCACAAATCTGGTGTGTTTAATTTGTTAGTGTGATATTTGTTTTTATTGTGAAACATCCAAATCAAATATTGGTAGACATAAAGGCTTCTTATATGTGATACTTGAATTTCCTTATAGAGCTTTTCAGTAGAAAATAGTTTTTGTTTCATGTATTATTTTCAGTAATGTATTCTGCATCGATGAATCTTTCGACAACATGTGAGACATTATCATCCCATCTTACATGATGATCGAGTATCATACCAAGGTATTTGATACTTGAGGTTTTTTCTATATAAGTGCAATTACCTGGGTGTGTGTTATCACAACCATGTATTATTAATGAGTTGAAAGTGATATTAATTTAGTTTTTTCAACATTCAGGCTCAATAGATTGTGGTTAAGCCAAGTTTGTAGTTTACCAAGATCCATTTCTGACTCAGCTTGTAGTTGTAGCCATGAGTTTCCTCTTCATACGATGGCTGTGTGTTGAAGTTGTTTATTGAGGTGATACTATTGATATAAACAAGAAAAAGTACTGGGCCCAGAACTGTTCCCTGTGGTACACCAATTTCAACATGAATAGTTTCACTTAGACAGTTCTCAATGTTGACCACTTGCGACTTCTGTGATGCATAATCTAGCATAAAATGGTGTGCGTTACCTCTAACACCGATATTCTCTATGGTTTCTTCAGTAATATATCATGAGACTCCGTGTCAAATGCCTTGGCAAGGTCCAGAGAGATTACTAAGCATCTTTCTGACTCGTCCAAAGCATCGACAGCTTTTTCAATAAAATCCAATATTGGTTTTTCTGTATCTGAATAACTTCTGAAACTAAATTGTCAATAATTTGCTAAGAATACTAATGGTTTCTTCTTGTTGAGATCACAACCCAAAATTTAGTGTTAATGTTCGATATTTTCAAGTTAGGAGCACTGAGTTTCAAGAGCAAAACATTGGTGAATATTCTAGCTATCAGTGCCAAATACGAATGGCCTCGTTTCCGTGTATGACATCGTATGTATTATGCCAGATTCATTAGCACCTTGTTTTACATAGGTGAAACATCAGTTGATTCATAACGATAGTATTTTTCAAAATCCCAATTGATTGATGATGTATTATGGAAGATCAACTTTTAACGGATATAAACTTCTCTTGCAGATATTTTACCCTATTTCAACGAATATCTGCTTTTCTTTGGAATGGCAATCATGCTGTCTGGTCAGTCGTTCGACGGATGTTGATTTTATATATGATCGCAGCTCATGACAGTATAAGTTGAAAGAGTATACGCGCAGCTCATCCGCAGAAAAAAAATAGACTATTAGCAACGATATGGGAATTTGTTGAGTCCAGGAACTCCTTTCCAATAGTATTTTGAAAATGATTTCCTATCAAAGGGGGATGAAGGAGAATTTCCGGAAGCTTATATTAGACCATCAGGTCTGAAGAGTTTGTTTGTATATAATAGCTGCTTGCTCCAATACCAAACCTACTTGTTTTGAGTAGTGTTCTTCAGAAGAGATGTCTAAATTCATCAATTTAGAGGATATAGTTGAGGAACGCTCATGTTTCTCATCAATATTCATGTATAAAGGGTAGACCAAAGAACAGTGAGGACCGTCGACTTAATGTTTTCAGAAGGTAGCGCCTATTTTCTATTCAATTTTCAAGTTCTGTGCATTGATTTCAGATCAGTAAAATCAAGAGTTTCTCCAAAAATACAAACACTGAATTTTGAATGATTTCAAGTATTACTCATTCTGGAAAGAATTGTATCTAGGTACATGAGAATGCAAGGAAATTGCTATAGTCAAAGCAAGATCCATTATTAGGATTGCATTCATCGACAATAACATACTATTCATCTTGAATCTAAACTTTTATTTTTATTTGAAATCGGGGTAAGATAACTTTTTTCATTATTATCTTGCTAGTATAGATGATTATGATAGTACATCATATTATATCACGTTAATTTGAGAAATAATCTTCAGGAATATCATTGAGAACAAGCATAAAGGGAAATTACTGCTAAATTGTCATTCTTGATGAGAAGTGTTTATGTTTCTACAGATTCATAATAACTTATGAGATAGTATAGACCCAAAATTAAACATTCATATGAACATTGGCAAGGAAGTTCTGCTTTCAGTTGCTTTCTATAATTATTGTTGTGTAATTTTGTGAACTTGGGAAAAAATTAGGTGAATGTCTTGATGATAACTGACACCTCAAAGTAGTTTTCTTATATATTTTCGAAAGACTTACCAATATCCCAATAGGCTACACATAATTTTTTCAACTTCACTTCATGGAGATATCAGAAATATCCTGACCCAGAGTGAGTTAACTAATACCAATTCAATTATCTCGAAGAGCTCTCAGATTTTTTTAGTTGCAAGTGCTAGCTGTCATGCCTGCTAGATATACGATCAATATCTTTGAGCTACAGCGTGAGAACTTATGCACTGATCATATGTGTTCTATAGAGATATACGCGATGCAAACAATGCCCATATAACATTATAACGCAGATTATTGCAGATGCACATTTCTTCAAAGTATGTATTTGCGGGATTCCAATGATTTAGATTGACCATGCGTGAAACACTGCTTATATACAGAGTAGGGTGTTCAGAACATATATCATTGAGGGTCAAATATTCGTAGTATATTTTTTATATCCCAAAATTATCAACTTGGCCCATGCGCTGAAGTTTTCGTTCACCAACAGAGGTATACCGTCAGTTGTAAGTCAGTGTAGAACTATAGAATGGCATGTAGAGGAAGATTGTATTGAATTCTCAACTAGTGATTCAGAGTGTGGTGAAAAATAATGACCCACCAAATATCCAGATACAAGCAATCACTTCGTAAATTATCACTTATTGAAATACTACTAGAGGTCAAATTATTTCCGAAAATTTTTTCGAGCTCATGGATTTCTTGAAAATTATTTCGAGTCCATGATCATGTTTGAAAATTAAATAA